ATATATATATATATATTCAAATGGCATTCATGTTTCTATTGGCAAGGTGTACTGATGCTTCTGAGAGCTTAGTTTGGAGTTCTTCAGATAAAGAAACAAGTGCCCAAATGGTGTTACTGTCATCAGACAAGGTACTTTTTGTTCAGTTCAGGGTAAGAGCTATTCTGATTCATAGGCACCACTATTAACATTAAATATTGTCTAATTATCTTATAACAGATCTGGGGGGCTGGAGAGAGGGTTCAGTGGTTAAGAGAATGTATAGTTCCTGCAGAAGACCTTGAGGCCAGTTCCCAGTACCCATCCACCTCATGCAGCTCACAACTGCCTGGAACTTCAGCTCTCGGGGATCTGACAGCCTCTTCAGGACTCCACAGGCACCTGTGCTCAGGTGTACATACCAGCACACAGACATACACAAAATAATTTTTAAAAAATCTAACATATAGTTGAAGAGATCTAAGTATGATTAAGATGTATGAAAGTCACAAAAATTAAATTAAAATATATCTTGAAAAAAATGAATTTTGTACCCATATCAAAAAAAAAATCTAACAAAACAAAAAGATCAAGATTAGTTGTCATTCACTAGGACCACCAGTGGCCTAAAACAAATCTCCAGAGACCCTGTGACCATATAACCTCTTTCAAATGACATTTATGAGGTTGGAGAGATGGCTCAGCAGTTAAAAGCACTTCCTGTTCTTCTAGAGGACCTGGGTCTGGTTCTCAGCACCCATATGGCAGCAAACAACTGTCTGTAACTCCTGTTCAAGGGATCCATTGCCCTCTTCTGGCCTCCATGGGCATCATATCACACGGATTCACTTACATACATGCAGGCAAAACAAACACCTAACAAAAATAAATAAATGAATGAATAAATAAATAAATAAATAAATAAATTCAAATGACATTTATGTATATCTGAATGCCATCTGGAGCCCATCCAGTGCCAGGCCACCCAAACTGCCCAGATTAACCTTGGATGCCAATGGGGTAACAGGGGACAGCCACCTCACTTTCGCCTGGTCTTGCTGGTGAGCAGCCAAAGAAACTTGCTAGTAGATAACTTCTCTTTGTTTTATCCTTGTTTTACAAATGAAGCAAAACCAAACTGTAAGGATTAGTACAAGGCTTTTAATTGATAGAATATAGAAAGTTTTTGATAATGGTTACTGGTAAATTCTTAATAAGACGCAATAAAATGGATTATTTAAACTAATTTTCTGAGAGGTGAATTTCTCATTTATATTTACCTCTTTTCATGTGTGATTGCCTTTCTTTGCAGCTACAGTTTAAGAACTCTAATAGGATATATGAGACATCCGCCCATTTGGTATTCCAGTTCAGGAAAGAAAATCTTTCTGAGACAGTGTCTCCCTGTAGCCTCAGCTGTCCTGCAACTTGCTACGTAGACCAGGCTGGCCTTGATCTGACAGAGATCTACCTGCCTCTGCCTTGCAAGTGCTAGGATTAAAGGTGTGCACCACACCATACCTGGCTAGAAAAGTTATTTTAAATATCTAAATGATTTACTTTAGATGGGGAGGAATAGTCCTTTCTTCAACCAATGGAGAAAAGGCAGTCTAAAGATGAAACAACAGAGAATTCAGCTTCATGGAGTTGAGCCATTACCAAGCATACCCTGGAATGGAGTAAACACTTGGTTAATACCAACTGAATGTACAAAAATGTGCATTTTGAAAGATGCCCACAGGTTGGTTATCAGATTTCCTTATGGAAGGCTGTATCTGAGAACCAGCTTGGGAGTTTCCTCTGTGGGCGTAGGACCAGTCCCCACAACAGTGTTCTGGTAGGCTCCCCAGCCAGGTGTAGTTCTGAAATTCTTCAGATGGTTCAGATGCAACCTGTTATACAACTACAGACCTTGTTATCTCTCAGTCAGCACTGACACTGTGGTGTTTTCATTCTGAAACAGTCCTCAGTCAAAGGCCTGATTGTGCAACAATGTTGATAAACTCTTGAGTTCTGTCTTTAAAGCAGATTCAGTATTAACTAAATTTCAAACCACAAAGCAACCAGATGCCGGCATTTCTTCAAGCATGCTGGGTGGAACAGTGCTGTGAGATCCCCTGAAGAAAGCACTGCACGGCCAGGTAGTGCCTATTTCGATGATTTACAGCACACCTGGTCACTGTGTCACTAAATCCATTAACACATGGTTCCTGAATACATCGACCCTGAAACACTTCTACTCAGAAGACACTGTTAACATCTTGTAGAAACTCAGCAGAAGCTGTGACAGCACCCAGACAACTAGAACAAAACTGAACTATTAACTTCTGGATCATGCCAGTCGCTGTTTTAATACACCATAAAATAAAACTACTAATTCACTCTACAAATCTGTACTTAATAGACAAGTCTAGGCTTGTTGGATGCAGGCTTTTAAAGCTATTAATAAAAACATCAGGTATAATTATCTTTGTTTATGGTAATTTGAGTGAACAAAAATTAGTTGAGTGTTAAATTATGTTTCTGGTCTTGATATTTAATAATTTCCTAAAGCATCTGGTGGAACCCTGGTTACTGTTTTCATAAGCAGTACTGCATCACTCCTATACAGCCTGGGGGGCTGCTCCACATTATCCTATGTTGTGGTGTGAAGGCCTTGTCCTTGAACAGCAGGTATCCAGCAGGTGGTGCTGTTGCAGAAGACTGCAGAACCTTCAGGAGAAGGAGCCTCACTGGAGGCAGTGGAGACAAGATTAGATCCCTGGGGTTCTGATGACCAGACTATGTCCTGATTGCTAAAGCTGGGCTTAAAAACTCATCACAAGAAGCTGGGCATGGTGGCACATGCCTTTAATCCCAGCACTTGGGAGGGAGAACCAGGTGCATTTCTGAATTCGAGGCCAGCCTGGTCTACACAGTGAGTTCCAGGCCAGCTGGGGCTACAGGGAGACCCTGTCCCAAAAAGGACAAAAAAAAAAAAAAAAAAAAAATCATCACAAGGATTTATTTTCTCCTGTCCCTGGACACTAGAGCTCCAGTTCTGAGGCTTTCAGGGTCTGGGACTTAAAACAGGCTCCCTAATCCTTTCCAGGGTTCTCAGACTTTCAGACTTGGACAGAAGCACACTGCCGATCTGTTTTCTGGGGCTCCGGTTCTCAAATGGCATATCATGGGACATCTTGGTCTCCATAATCACACATTATCAAGAAACAATGAAACCTGAGCAAGAAGGGGAATATGACTTTCTAACACAAATCCTCCCTGTCGGAGCATCAATCCAAACAACTACTCAAGCACAGAAACAGTATCAGAAGACCTAAGAATAATGGGTGAGAGATGGCGGCACATAGAGAGTAAGTAGTTTTAGAAGGGCAGGAAGAACAGTTTTAAATATCTGAGCCACCCCTCGTCAACCCAATGAGGCAGAAACTGGCTTTCTACAGACACTAACGGAAAGGGCATGGTGAAAACAAGCTGCTCACACACGTCACAGTATAAGAAAAGACACTGGGCTAAAAGGAATGTCAGTGTTAACACAGTGAGGCCGGGAATGCTAGGGTGAGAAAAGGTTTGCAGTTGGGTATGGGATAACCAAGCTAAACAGAGGATGAAGAACAGGGCTTTAGTCAGTGACAGCAGGCTGGCTGGTCCCCTAAAGCCCTTGAATAACATATGTTCATATGTCTTTGCTTCTAAGGCAGCCAATTTAACAAACCAAGATAGATTCTAAGACAGGTTCCACCTCTTTCAAGGGAGACCCAGACCACACTATAGACAAGAAGTTAACTAAGAACAACCATAACTACTTATTGGTAGCTGTGAGAACAGAGAGAGCTTAGTATAATCAACAAAGCTTGAGACACCTGCAACTTGGCAGTAGCACCATCAGCCAGAGATGAATGGAGAGTCAAAGTAAAAAACTAATGAAGCTGGTATCAAAGATGGGCAGAGGGGAGCTTAAGCCATCCCTAATCAGTGGGCAGAGCAAAAACAGCACATGATCATCTCTGGATGGGTCAGGAAAGCCTGCCCAAAACATGCCAGTTCCCCCACTGGCTTGGCCAGCAGTACACATCCTCAGAATTAACCAATCTCACTACTCCAGTCTGTCCATTTTCTGCCATACACCTATTAAAACCCCTAGACAAGGAGGTTCACTGGCTTTTCCCACTCCTGGGGGTTTCTCCCACTTTTCCTTAATTTCTCACTGTCTTTAGTAAAGCCTGCTCCTGCTTTGCTTAGTTCTAGGAGTGTCCATATCTTTAATCATCACGGGCTTGGGACAACCAACTGCAGGCAGGGCTGCTGTCTCAGGCTGACTTTTGGTGGCTGTTGCATTTCTGGATTTTAGGATCCTGAGTCAAACATAACTGCTCTGAGAAAGGACCCATCAACTCAAAACCCTGTATCACCAAGGCAATATACCAAGGTGAGCTATCCTAAATGTGGAAGAAGAAGAGGGAAAAGTAGGCACTAAGCTTTGTCTTGGAGTCCAACATTGGGCTTCTACCAGCAAAACCCAGTGCTAGTTAGGCTTCTGTGGTACCAGAGACTCAAGAGGACCAGGCTAGACCTATCAACCATGGCTTTAGGCTTCAGGCCTGTCCTAGCATCAGGCCAGCCTATACAGTGCTACTCATCAGGCTGACCCCTGTAGGTAGAGCTCCAGTGCCAGATTGGCTCTGTAACCTCACTGCTTCAGCAGATCCAAGATAGATGGTATAGGTGGAGAGTTTCCATGGAACAATATTCTAGGACTGCCCAGGGAACTCAGTTCCAGGGCGGTATTCACAAACCTCCCAATGGGTATTAGGACAGCGTCGTCATCTCCTGAGTTCTACCCTGAGCCCTGAGGACTCAGGCACCATGCCTTTCCAGCACCAGGATAGTCCTTGTGGCTCATGGTTGCAGCAGACTCGAGGCCTACTCTAGGGCTGAACCAGTCCATGGAGGTTCAAGCACAAGACTCACCCTAGCACCATCAGCCCCTGTAGACATAGAATCCAGACAGATCCCTATATAACCACTTGTCAGAGCCACCCCAGTGAATTTACACCATGAGCCCAAGCTGGCCTACTACCTGCAAACCCAGGTACCAGGTCAGCCTGTCCAAACACTCTGTAACAAGCCCACCTATCCCAGACAATTTACTCATAATCTTTAGGTGGGCTGACTGCTGAAGGACTTTCCTGTAAAAGCAGTTTGCAAAGACGGCAATAAGTACCATATTTGTCAAATGAGCAGACACCAATGCATGACCTCAAGGATCAAGAACAACTGGAGCAGTGGATGTCGATAAAGGAACAAGTGAAGCACCATCATCAACAGCAAAGGATGGAGATCTATGACCTCATAACAAGTAATTAAAACAACTGTTTTAAGGAAGCTTCACAGACTTCAAGAAAATAGAAAAATAATTCAACGAGACCAGGAAGACAGCAGATGAACAAACAGAAATTCCATTTAAACAAAACTAAACAAACAAACAAACAAAAATCAAATTCTGGATCAGGAAAACACAAATCAGTGCTAGAAAAACAATGCAGTGAAGGGTTAACATCAAGATAAATCAAGCAAAAGAAAGACAGGTGAGGCGGGTTACCCCAAAATCTAGAGACAAGTAAAGCACAGCATGAACAGGACTGAGGTGAGTCATGGGGTTCATGGGACAGCACCAAAACAACAGATTCAGGCTACAGGCATTCAAAAAGAAGGCAGACAAAGGGGCAGAAAGCTATTTGAAGAAATAATAGCAAAGAACTTTTCAAATTCAGAGAAAGGGACAGGAAAGTTAAAAGTACCAATGGGATCCAACGTAAATAAGAAAACACTAGGACATTTAATTAAACTGAAAAAAGAAAAAAGAAAAACTGATGATCCTGAGAGCAGGAAAAGAAGCAAATTTCATATTAAGGGAGTTTCAGGAAGGCTGGAATAGACTTCTCAACAGACACCATACAGTCCAGAAGAGAGGGGCAATCCACTCCAAGTGTTTGGTGGGGAGACAGACCAAGACAACCCCACCCCCAAACTCTGGCCAAGAGTATTGTTCCTGGCTTAGTTGTTCAAAATTGAAGAAAGGACAAAGACTTTCCCAAACATAAGTTGAGGAGTTCATCTCCAGCACACTTGTCTTTTAAGAAGTGGTAGAGGAAGCTCTTCACACTGAAAGAAATTAGTAACAAGAAAAGATATAAAATGACAACACAGTAAAAGGAAGTACACATCAAATTCAGAGTATTCTAAGGCTATTATGTTGGTATATAAAACTTTAACTTTTACTATCATTTATGGCTACTTTTAAAGGGTCAAAGACAAAACTATTAAAATGATAATAGTTAAAATAGTTAAACACATGTAGACTGTGGCACCAAAATATAAATTGTGTAAGGGGTATAAAGTTTTTACATATGATCAAAGTTGTTACCACCTTTAAATGGCTTGTTATTAGATGTGTTATGTAGGCCTCACAGTAACCACAAATCAAAACCTTCAGTAAATACACAAGATACCACAAGAGAACATCACTTACACCAAGGAAGGCAGCAAGGGGGGAACAGAGGAGCTGCAAAACAGCCAGACAACATTGCTGCAAGTTCATGGGAACAAGCTTCCAGCGGCCTAAAAGCCTCTGCTTTCTTATGTTCATTAGATATTCTTTAAGGGAGTAACTCTAGATAGGCTGATGAGACTCCAGTGGATGAACCTGCACCCAGGGACACCTGGATAGAAATGCTTGATACAATAGAAGTTAACATATACGACAGAATACATGAAATCTTGGGGTGGGGATGGGGGACCATGGACGGCAGGTAGGGGATCTAAATTTGATTAAGATGTATTTTATAAAGTGTGCAAAAACTCAGTGAGAATATTAAAAATGAAAAAACAAAAAACAACAACAAAAAACTAGCCAGACAAGATGGAAGTCTTTACCTATTCTAGTTACTGTGAATGTCAATGTATTAAAAATTTAACCCCAAAGCAAGAGATATAAATGAATGGAAAAGAAGGGGAAAGATCCAACTATATACTGCCTACAAGAAACTCACAGCACCAACCATACAGATTGAAGAAAGGATGGAAAAAAGACGCTAAGCAAATGGAAACCCCAAAAAAGGTAGGAGTGGCTTAGTATGCTTACATTAGACAAAATACATTTATAGAACATTCTGGCCATTGCTAGAAGAAAAATTGTCCAGGACAGAGAATATCAAATTATAAAACCAGTCTCAACAAATTTAAGAAAACTGAAATTCTATCAAGAACATTTTCCAATCGCAATAATATGAAACTAGGAGTCAATAATGGAGGCATTTTAGAAAATGTACAAATACATATAAATAGTATGTTTCTGAACAACTAATGAGTCAAAGAAAAAATTATGAAGGAAATTGAAATATACTTTGACACAAGTGAAAATGGACATACCACATACCAAGCAACCTAACATTGCCTCCCCCAGGCACGGACCTAGAAAAATAAGCACACTGGGCCCCAAATGGCATAAGATCATTTCAATAGAGGTCAAATACCTGACAAACTGAATTATTCCATTACAAAATTGCTAATGAAGCTAGGTATAAAAGGAATATACCTAACAAAATAGAGGGCATTTGTGAGATACCCACAGGTGACATGGCACTCACTGGTGAGAAGTTGATGGCTTTCTCTCTAGTAACGGGTGAGATAAGGATGTCAATTTTTATCACTAGAACTCCTAGCCAAAGCAACTGGGCAAGAGAAATGAAAGACATCTAATGTAGAAAGGAAAAGTCATATTGTTCCTATTTGCAGACAGCATGATTATATATATGGAAACCCTAAGAATTCCATGCAGGAAGTGTTTTAACCAATAAAAGAATTCATTAAAATTGCAGGAACCAGCATACAAAAATCAGTAGCATTTTGTATACAAAAATGTGCTACCTGAAAAAGAAATCAAGAAAGCAATCCTATTTTTAATAGGTACAAAATAATGCTTAGGATTAAGTTTAACCAAAGAAGTAAAAGATTTGTATATCTAAAACTATAAAAACCTGATAAAAGTAAGTTGAAGAGTATCCAGAGATACGAAAAAAAATTCTATGATCATGCAGTGGAAGAATTAAGGTTTTTACCATGTTTAGACTAAGGCGGATTCAATGCAATCACACCACATTTCCAAAGGCATCTTTTCCAATGATATTTTTCACAGAAATAAAAGCAATGTGGAACTACAAGACTCCAAATAGCCAAAAAAAGTGGCAAGCTGGCTTTCAGAGAGGATGAATGGGGGCGGGGAAGAACTGCGACTTACATTTTGTGGCATTTTGTAATGGGAGCCTAGGCAAACTAAGGCACGCCGTGAGACAAGTTTAGTTATGAAAAGGGGCAAATGGACTTGTGGACATAAGAGGCTGCAGTTTACTCACCATGTTCACACCCTGCTCCTGCCACCAAGCCCCTCTTCCTTTTAGTCTGCTGCTCAAACAGGTCAGGTAGCACACTGGCTCCTCAACATTCCCTCTGTGTCTGCAGTTCAGGTGCAGTTGTACAAACAGCAGAACACGAAAGTCTTTCAGGTTTCGGGAAGATAGGCCTCTTGGCATCACAAAACTGTGGTCACGTTCCCAACAAAACTCAATTCCAAAGTCAACAAATTTTCCATGAAAATATATTTAATCTTATTCAAATCAGAAATCCTGGCTCTTTCCCCAACCACTTCCAAACAAAGTTCCCTTCTTGACAAATGTTAAAGACAGTAAAAGAAAATCTCTCTTATGTTGATGAAAAGATACATAATCAAACACTTTCAATGGCTGACCTATCCACGAGGTCTCTGGATTGTTCATTTGGAAGGGGAGAATCACATCACTACTGTGATTTGAAGTGTGAAAAAGTTCTTATCTACCTATGTCAGTTAACACTGGTGTGAAATGCAGAGGACAGGCCCTCCAGGGAAGAGTTTCATTGGGCAGAGGAAAACAGAACAACAACAAGGGCAGGTGTGTGACACTTCTGCGAATACTGGCTAGTGTTCAGTCAAAGATTAATTAAGAGTGAAAAAAATCAATGTCCTGTGATCAGTAACTTTAAAGACAAGCTAGTTCTCCTTTTGGTACTATTGACCTTCCCATGATTCTAGATTCCAAATTACAGAAAAGGGTAAAAAAAATTAACAAATAGAGAATGTAGAAACTCCTGGCTCTGTGCCTCCAGGAATGGCAGCACCCATTTGCTCCATCATCATGGCAGCACTCTCGTGGAGGTAGAGGCAACTACTCCATCAGGCCTTGGCTGGCTTGGGACCAGGGCCTTGTTGGGTGCAGCACCATGGTCTCCTGAGAAGCCAGTGCCTACTGAGCCATCTTACGGATCATATAGTTCAGGATGCCCCCATTGCGGAAGTAAGTGAGCTCCACGTCAGTGTCGAACCTCATCACAGCCTGGAAGGTCTTCCCCGTGTCCAGCTGCAATGGCAAAGAAGCAGAGCACTACTGAGAGTGGCTGAGGCACCTGCTTCAGGGAGACTCCATCTGGCTCCCTTCTAGCCTGCCAGTCCAGGTGTGGGCCACACGCCAGCAGTGCCGGGTAGGAACAGGGAGTCACTGGGTCCAGCCAGACCTACCTGATTAGAATCTGTATTCAACAAGACCCTTAGGAGTTTATCTGGCAACTGAAGGTTGAGAAGCACTGCAGAATTAAGGATGCAGGCTAAGAGGCACATGGGAAGTAAAAACAGCCTCTCTAGGCAGCAGCCATGAGTGATACTGGGATGGTTTTTACTGAACCTTTCTGGACATGCCTCTGGACAGCAAGGTCTCACTGAGGTTGTCCCTTAGGCACTGACCCAAGTCTGCAAGAGACATCAGCAGCTGCCTCGGCAGGTGCCCAATCACCTTGGGACACTGGTGCTGGGCACTTCATCTTGGCCTCTCCAAGGATATGTCATTACCACAATAGAGCCAATTAAAGCCTGGGGCCCAGGATGAAGCTCCGGGGAGTACAAGTAGGATTTGTTGGTCACATTTTCGTATTTTAAAAAAAGGGGGGGCGGATTTTTAGATACATGAAAATGTCACCTCTGAACTTTTATTACATCCTCCGGGATGCAAGAGATTTTGAGAAGGGAGCTAGTGATGCTGGTTGGGGATGGGAGCTCAGCTCGGAAGCGAGGAACACTAGGAGCTAGGGCAGACACGATCAGCAAGTGTCATCCTCCCTATATGTGAGGCAAGCAGAGGGTGCCAGGAGGACGCCTAATGTCATCCTACCAAGGAATTATTTTCCCTCCCAAAATGTCCTATGAAGAGGATCACAAAGGGCCCTTACAGGAGGTCCTGCCTGAGAAACTCCGCTTACCTTGATCTGAACTTTCATGCATGGCTTAAGGTTTTCAGGAATGCTGATAGTGTATCGTTCACGTCCCGTGAGTCCCAGAGAGTCTGCATTCTCACCTGGGAGATACTCAAGGGGGATCACCCCCATTCCCACCAGGTTACTGCGGTGAATGCGCTCATAACTCTCGGCCAGAACAGCTTTGATTCCCTGATGAGCCAAAAGAGCAGTTTGAACACAGTTCCAACTTTTTCCTTAGGTATACAGAAACTTTACAAAAGCTTTCTTCAGAAAGTTCTCACAGCTAGATTTTAATTACCTGTTAGTCTTTCATCTAAAATGTTATCTAGTTATAAATAAGTCAGCAGTGAGTCTAACTTGAGTACCTATAATGTACCAGTACTATGTAAGCACATAAATGAATTTTCTTCCACCTTCTACCAACCTTGAGAAACGGCAGATGCTATAACTATTCCCTTCTACTAAGGAAGTGCTAGGATAGAGTATTTGAACCCATGTTGTCTATGTACTTAGCCACTTAGGAAATACAAGATCTCTTAGCAAATTTCTACTGTATCCAGATTGTATATCACAAAACAGCATAAAGACAGTTATATTCTTTTGCACTGCAGGTGCATCAGCAAACACAGAGGGTTTAATTAAAATTTAAAAAATGAACTTTCAGAATATACTATAAAATAAATAATTACTGTATACTGCTTTTACACTTCTGGTTTCAAGGATCAAACTGCACTGAATAGTGTTGATATTAAGCTTTCTATAAAGGACATTTTATTATCAGTGTACAAATGGCACTCTACAGCAGTAATCAGTATAGCAGTTAACCCAATTAACTAGATATCCCTAATAGTCACTAATAGTATTAAAAACCATATATTAAGGCACCCTAAAAGGTCTCTTGGTCTCCAGGGCATGCTACACTGTACTAAGCTCCTTTGGAGACTTTGTTAAAACACTGATGCTTGGATACCGTTCCAAATCTATAGCACCTGAACCCTGCAGGGAGCACGAGGTAGGTGGGACAGTAATTTTTGTGTTTCAGGAACCCTGGCTACAAAGCCATAGTTGTTAAAGCTGCTACATATTACAATCTCAAGGAGGCTTTTAAAACACCAATGTCCAGACCTTTTTCTATCACTTGAAGGACTCTAGGGAGGACACGTAAAATAGGCACTAAAAGAAAAAAATTCCACAGGTGTTTCCAAACTCTAGAATCACTTCCAGAGCGGAATTTTAGTGTTATAAAAAGTACACATCCCTACTTGACCTAACTCCTGAATAAGTCTCAGCTCCTTGATGCTCCCTTCTATGAACCTGACAGACAACAGCTTACACCCAACTCCTTACATTCCAACCAGGACAATGGTCTTAAAATTTAGGGTCTGCAAGTTCTGAGAATGTTATGAAAGCTGAGAGAGTTCTTCCTATAAAAGAAAGACAGCTGCATATATACACCTCTGAAAACAATGTAGGAGACTTCACAGGTCTTCCTTCAAAGTTTTCTAAGATACCCCAAACGTTGCCAGATGCCAGTCCCGAGTAGCCTTGATATACCTGAACCTTTGACTGGTACCCTTTGCTCAATGGAGTAAATCTAGATCCTCCAAGAGGAAGGTGATGAATGAACACCACAAGCTTTTCACAGTTTGCTCTTTCACAACATCTTGGGAAGCAAAGCCATAGACTTTATTCCTGAGAACTCTCCCAACTCCCACTCCAGTCCAGAGGGCAACTGCCCCCCGGGAAGTCTCTGTTCCATACATACCAGCAGGAAAGGGCCCTTGGCTGCCCAGTCTCGGGAGCTGCCTGAGCCATACTCTTTGCCAGCCAGAACAATCAGAGGAAGTCCAGCCTGCTGGTACCTCTCAGCAGCATCAAACACATCAAGCTGAGGAAGAGAAGAGGGAGGTTTTACAGATACAAAAAAGGTAAAGAGTGGGGACACAGGTACTGGGAAGCCTGGTGAGAGTACAGGATCTGTAGACAGCTGAGTCCATGGAAAACTCAAAACTGGTTATGTGGTCTACAAGTCCCTAGGTAAGTCCATTTGTTTGTTTCTACAAATTGAACTTTACTTTTGACTAAAATGTAACTGTTGTTTAGTTTTACAAAAACATTAAAATCCTAGGGCATGGGGAGGTGTGTGGAAAACTACATCATATTTTCCTTTTTAAAAAATTTTTCTCCCATTGACCAAACCATTTTGGAAATTTAAAAACCAGAATCTTATGAAGCCTGGGTTTTGGCCCCAATTCAGAGACGAAGCAGTGGTCAGTTAGAGTAACAAACACAAGGTGGTATGTCTTGAAAGCATACAAAATTCAAATTCCTCCTGCCTTCCACGGGCAGGTGGAAGGCAGAGTAGCAAGGCTGAATGGAAGCATGAGTCAATACAGGCCAGCAAAGGGTCAACTAACACTGCAGTGTTAGAAATCTCTGTCATGGCAGTGTTACTCAAGGAGTCACTGCTGCTTTTCCAAGTGGACCAACACCTCTCCTGCTGATGCACTCCTGTGGCAGAGGAAGCTTCCCTCAGCAGAATTCTGGGGATTCCCTTCGTTCCCATTCCTGGATCCTACATCTTTCTCTTTTGGGCGAGTTCCTCATTTGGGGGCATCATGTTGACAAAGGAGCTTCCCAGGAAGGACTGCTGGGTGCCTTTTAAGCTTGTGACTATCTGAATGCTCCACAACTTCAACTGTATTTGACTAAGAGTGATTATCATGTGCAGTCTCAGTTCCAGCTTTGCTGTCAGAAGTCTGAAACACCAGGACACCTCACTGCCTGTAAGCTGGTGCTTCCTCTCTAGCAGAGGCGTCTGTCTTTCTTTTTCCTTCATTTCAAATGATGTGACTTGATAGGGTCCCTGAAATGCTGTGGCTAATGTTCAGTGGGGCCTTTCAAAACATATTCCTTGTATTATTTAACTGGTAATGTCTTTCCTCCCATTTTGTTTTCTTTTAAGATTTATTTTAAATTTTTATGTGTATGTGTGTGTCCCCAAGTGTATGCATGTGCACCACACACATGCAGGTTCCAATGGAAACCAGAAGAGGGCACCAGATCCCCTGGAACTCATGGCAGCTGTTAGGTGCCATGTAGGGGCTGGAAACTGAACCCAGGTCCTCTGCAAGCACAGCAAGTGAGTGCTCTTAACCTCTGAGCCATTTCTCCAGCCCATTTTCTTTCTTAGGATTTCTCTTTCATCAGATGTTAAGCCACCTGAGCTCAGTTCTTAATTCTTTTACATCTTTTTCTTGAATTTTCTATTTACCACTCCCAGGGATGACATTCTATATTCCCAGGAATTTTCTAAACAGATCAGATCTCCTTTGAATCTTTTTTTTTTTTTTTTCTTTTATATTTACAAGACTCTTGGCTTGTGACTGTTCTTTTATACCAATGGAGAATCTCTGAGGAGAATGTTCTTTTTCTTAGTTTTTACTTTTTGCAATATCGGTCTGTCCTGACTCTACCCACTCCCCACCCTGCCCACTATTCTTTGTCTAGAACTCTTAAATTCAAATCTTGGTTCAAATTCTGCCCATCCCTGACTCTGTCTCCTTATTTAAGATGAGACAATAACACCTGACTAGATAACTTACACAATCAAAAAGTAAGAGCTACGCCAACACAGCTTATTGGGCCCTTCTCCGAAGGGCAACGACATGCCTTCCCCCTTGGTCTCAGGCATTCCATTATTCAGTGTGCTAGTTCAGCTTATCATAGCCCTGGTAAGGACCCAGTCACTAATTTGCTTAACAAAAATGCAGTCATTTCTGAGTGAGGAAGCATGTATGGGATAGCAAGGAACACTGACATCAGAGCCTGACTCATGGTCTCTAACCTTATCTTTCCCAATGTGTGAGTTGACCTTCTATGCTTCACATTCTCAAATAAAACACAGATGATCACACAAACTTCAAAGGACTGTTATTAGGACTAAGTTTGTCAATGTGTGCAAAGAGCTTAGAACAGCACTGCAGCAAGTTCCACAGAAATATTAGCTACCATTATTTTTTTTAAAATATTTTATTATTATTATTATTTTTATGTGTATGAGTGTATTGCCTGCATGTATGTGAGTGCAACCATGTCGTGCAATGCCGAGGTCAGAAGAGGGCTTCAGATTCCCCTGGAACTGGAGTTAAGGACGGTTCATAGCTGCCTTATGGGTGCTGGAAACTGAACATGGGTCCTCTGCAAGAGCAGGCAGTGCTCTTAACCACTGAGCCATCTCTTCAGCTCAGCTACCATCATTTTTAAATAAACTGGAGGGGCTGTTTTCAAGGAGGAGGTCAAACAGTTTTCGGGCAGTTTCATAGTACTCCTTGAGGATGTACACATGTGGTAGACACTGTCCTGGATTTTACATTTTGTTTTGGCCTAAGAGTTACGTATGGTTGGTGTTATTTCTACTTTACAAATTAAAAAAAAAAAAAAAAAAAAAAAAAAAAAAAAAAAAAAAAAAAAAAGATAAAGCCTAGAGAGGTAACTAGCTGGCCCAGGCTCCACTGCTGCAAGTAAACAACCCAGTGTATGCATCAGCTTCAAATGGCTGCTTTGGGACTCAGGCATGTCTCAAGGGCCTCCATAGTCCTTCTCTTCCTGGTGCATGCAGTGAATTTAAAAACATACCAATAAGGACACACAATAGCCCTTCTTGATAAATAGCCCCTAAGTTAATCTGGACATTCTCTAACATACTTAAACACAGATGAAATTTCACCCAGAGTCTAGGAACTGAGACTTAAACCATGGTGCAGAATCCCCAAGTAAGAAGAGGTTGCAATCTCTACCAGTGATGGGATGGGCACCTAGCAAAGGAACTGCAGAAAGCAGAGGTCGGTGGCAGCCATGAGGAAAGAGGAGACTGAAGAGGAAAGCTGAAACTGTGAAACTGCGGGTCTCTAGGGCCTCAGGAACACTGGTGCCTGAATGGAGGCAGACAAGACTCACGGTTTCTCCAGAAGGAAGATGTACAGTCTGTGGTGCCTGCTTGTTTAGAAATTTGTTCAGCAAGCGAATGTTGGCAAATGTGCCCCGTGCCATGATGGCGTCATTGCCCCGGCGGGAGCCATAAGAGTTGAAGTCTCGCGGAGTGAGGCTGGTAACAAAAGCAGGAAAGGCGCTCTTCAGTGAAGTGAGCAAAGACAACACACAGCTTACATCCAAAAAAGAAATGTCATAAATGTAACCATTTCCCCAATCTGCCAGGCACTGTTCTCCATGGCATGGGCTGTACCCAAAGCTGTACCCAACAAGGGTGGGGGTGGGGTGGGGTCGGCAGGAATCAGTCCTCTCCAGGGTCTTTCAAATCTGGGCATAAGGATTAGGAGGAATCCTACAAGAGTATTTATCCTCTTAATTTAGTAGGTTGCCTACATAGATACATGAGGTAAAGAGCCGAATGAGGGGCTGGAGAGACGGCTCAGTAGAGAGCACTAACTGCTTTTGCAGAGGATCCGGGTTCAGTTCTTGGCACCTAGGTCCAGGGAATTCGATGCCCTCTTCTGACCTCCATGGGTACTGCATGACATAGGTGCACTTAATATATGCAGGCAATACACTCATACACTTAAAATAATATATATATATATTTTTTTTTCTTTAAAAGATAAATTAAAAATAATAGGGGGGCCAGTTAGATGGTGCAGTGATTGGGAGACAACTAAATATGCTCCATAAACTAACCAGAGGTAGGTCTGAATTTGACCTTGATCAGGAACCCAAGGTAAAGGGAAGCAAAGCAATGTACTGGCAACATAATGTACAACTTTCAGAAGATAAAAATCACTGCAGGGCCAAAGAGGCACAAGTTACTTCTGTTGCCCACATCAGAAGAAAGTTATCAGGGAGAACCAATAAAAGGAACTTTGTGATGCCAAGAACAGTATCTTATAGTAAACAATGACCTGTTCACTGGCATGACCCTTGCCATACTAGGGGTGAATGTTAAACATGATTTAACTGTCAGATCTGTTTTGGGGATTGAGAGAGCTTATGGGTAGGCTTCAGGACCAGGCAAGCATGCCTAAGAACCCTTGAAATCCTATGCAAAATGCCAGGGTTTGAGGTAGGCATTATATTTTCTTACACTGATTCCCTAAAGAGTTCCTATGCCAAGAGAATTGCACCTAGAGAAAAAAGCATTTGGACTGTGTTTCTCCAATTTGCTCTGAGCCCTATCTCTGAAGGAATTGATTCAGGAGGTCAGAACAGAAATCAGGAATTTTTATCTCCCCACATGAGTCTCCTGGAAAATCACATCTGGGATCCACCACATTCAGTATCAATACTCAGATGACAGCAGATAATGTACCTATAAATACTGGCATGTCTGAGGATCTGGTACAGGGGTGAGTTAGCTGTAAATTCTTGAAGCAGTTCTCTAAACAAGTTTCTCAACCAGGACACAACAATACATGTTGGGTTCTATCATTGCCAGGCCTACAGCAGTCTCTGCCGCAGCCAGGGAGAGGGATGACCTTTGAGCCTAAGGAATACACTTGCTCAAAAAGGTCTCTCTCCCTGCCACTGCTGTGATTCATGAGTGCTCCCGTGGTGCTACTAAGCAACACATCAACTGGCTTTCAAGCAGCAGGCTCCAGTGAAAAATGAGTCTGTCCCAAACAGACTACGTGAAAAGAGGAGGACCAGCTTCTCCACTGTGCTGATGCCACTCTTGCTTTCCTGCCTGGCTCACACTTACCCTCTGTTAGTTAAGTAGCGAGCAGCAGGGCTATTTCTTGCAATATTTCCAGCTGGAGAGATATGGTCGGTTGTTACCGAATCTCCCAAATTTAGTAGTACATAGGCATCCACTATAGACTTGGGGGGCTGGAGATCCAAAGTCTAGTGAAGAATGCAACAAGTCAGCATACATTTCTCAGACAGGTCACTAGGTGAACTCAATAGTAGGTGAACCAGACTTAAAGTTCTACATCAATTGGTGGAAAATTCTAATTTATAGATTCATAGCAACAATACTTAGAAAAGTAAGGTAAATTTACTCAAAACATCCGTATCTTAACCTTGAATAGAAGGTGAAATATTGGCACTACCCGTCTCAAAGCAAGAAGAACCCAAGCTAATGACAAATGACACTCTTTCTTCACCACCATACAGGACTTCAGAGGCCAATGAAACTGGGGTCCTGACTTCTCCCATCCCCTCTGTGGTGTCTTTGCATAGCCACACAGAACCTCTGGTCAGAGAAACAGTCCCTTCAGCCAAAACTACAAAACTCTCCAGCATTATCTGTCTAAGTGTACAAATGTTTTAACAGAATGGGCAGTCAACAAAGGGCTATGGGGTATTACAGTAGATTGTATAAGGAAAAAAACCTTTTAAAGAACTTGTGCTAAAAAAATAAAAAGTTGGGCCAGTGAAGTGGGTCAGCAGTAAAAACACCTGCTGCCAAGCCTGATGGTCTGAGGTGGCTTCCCAGAAGCCGTGGTGCAAAGAGAAAACCGATTCCAGAAGTTGTATTCTGACCCCCACATATGCACTGTGGCACAATGTACACTCACAATCACATACAACATTGTATAAACACAGTAGTAAAATGAAAAATATGTATCTTAAAAAAACTAATAAAAAGTCATACCAAGTTTTCAAAGAACGGTGGTGATTTAATGTATGTAGATTTGGGATTCCATAAATACAGCTTATCTGATGGGGCTGCTAAGGCGTTCCAGCTTTTGTTTACAGTCTTAAAAAATAAAAACAAAAAGAATTACATTCTATTTTAGAAAAAAATTTGATATGCAAATACAAAATATTCAAATGAAGAGGTTTAATAAATTGCAGTCATTCTAAACAGACACACAAAGTGGCTCCTTTACACTAAAATAATGTCCTCCTAAATACCTTAGGAATCATAAGTGATAGCTCTGCAATAGCAGAAATGACCCCCACCTCCTGGGATTCATACCCTCAAGTGACTCTCCTGTGAAGAGGCTCTGCTTTTCACTCTCGCTTTCTTGCTGGCTCCAATGGAAACTACCTATGCTGAACCTGTGAAGCCCATATACGTAGTGCTGAGGCCTCTAGCCAATGGCTAGTCAAGAACTGGGAACCTCAGTGCAATCCCCACAGGAGTGGGTCTCAGTCGATGATGTCAGCCCAGACATCATCTTGCTTAGAGCCTTGTGAAGGCAAAGGCCCTAACTGGCTCTGTACTTGGATACTTGACTCACAGAAATGTACATAAATGTTCTTGTTCCAATTTGCTAAGTTTTACTTACTTTTATTTTCAATACATATGCATCTTTTTTCTCTAGTACTGATAATTTCACACCATGCACTGCACTATGATTACACTCCTCCCATCATCCTCTTGTCCTTCCTGCGCTCCCGCTGACACCACTCCTTTCTTCCATCTAGTCACCTATTTTCACAGCTTTTTTTTTTTTTTTTTATTTGAGACAGGGTTTCATCACTATGTAGACCAGGCTGGCCTCAAAATCAAAGAGATTCTTCCTGCCTTGCCTCCCAAATGCTGGAATTAAAGGCCTGTAGGTGCACACAATCAGCTTCATTGTTCTTTTGAAGAACAGCTTCAACAGTA